TGTACTATAAACAAGTGGCAAAGCTTGTCTAATATAATTCAGGATATGATGAATAAAAATGTGTTCTCTGTGTGCATTCTGGATGGAATTTTGGGCATAGATTAGACTAGACTAGACGTCCCTATTTACCCAGGACAGTCTCAGTTTTGAGCCATATATCCCCTGTCCCAGCAGATTTATCCAAAACCAGTGATTTGTCCCAGTTTTATACAAGAAATGTCTCAGATGTCTCAATTTTTGACTAATCTGATACTTGCCAACAGTAAATAGAGGGCATGCATTGTCATTTGTTGAGGTAAAATACAGAAAAGCTGCTTAAAAATGACCAAAACACAAAGAAAATGTGACTATACTCACATAGTCACATTAGTGCCCAGTGCAGAACAATTCTCCTTAATTACGCACTTGTTTCACAGTTTTATTATTACCAACCGACACAAACCAGGGAAGCCGCAATTTTTTATTTTGAAAATTTGGTCACCCTAGCATAGATGACAAAGATTAGACAGCTTTACTTTTTTATACCAGCACTACTTCACATTTTTCTTCACAAATGTTCATTTCACTGATGATAAACTATGATAATGTTTACCACAGGGACTATCTCACCAAATAAAGTAATAATTCCAAAAACATGTAACCTGTTATATCAGACCTGGGCATTGTAAAGCTCCCAGGCCACATACAGCCCTTTCGTTGACTCTGACTGGCCCGTTTAAGCAAATCTGGAATTGCAAAATAAACCTACCATATTTTTCAGACTATATATCGCACACTTAAAATCCTTTAATTTTCTCAGAACTCAACAGTGCGCCTTATGTATGAATTCTGGTTGTGCTTACTGATCTCGAACTGATTTTATGTGGTACACAGCGCAAAAAAATCCATCCATTTTTTTTTTGTACGACTTTGGTAAACTACGAAGCCACACCACTTGATGGATTATCGGAGCATTACGGCTACTCCGACAGAAGTCCAACAGAAGCTGACCGCATCAGTGCACAAGGAGTGAGTTGTTTTTTCAGCGCTTATAGTTTATTCAAATGAGCCATGTGGTTTTAAGTTTTGTTTTTATAAAACGTAAACAAATACGCATAAAGCTGCATTAAACACATTATTACTCAATGTATATTTGACTCCTCCTCGTAGGAAAAAACAATACAAACTTAAATTATCCACCCACATTCACATTCATAATACACATTCATCAAGACAGGGAGGCAACAACAGGGGAATTACACCACGATCTGCCAATGAATCATGGACGTCTGGGTTAAGGGATCAGTCTCAAGTGTCGTCCGTTTGTTTCGCTTAATGCGCCTTATAATCCGGTGCACCTTATGTATGAAAATAGAGGAGACAATTCAACATTATTGATATTGCACCTGATAATGCGGTGTGCCTTATAGTCGAAAAATATAGTATTTTATATCTTTACCTCATGCATGGACTAAAGCTGCAATGCTTTTACTTTAGAGTTTTATAATAGTATTTTTTTATAAGGCAACCTTCACTTTTTCATTGCTTAGTCATAACATAAACTCTTACCAGTCTTACCAGCTCATCAAAAACAATGATATTTACTGCTTTTTATAAAGATATACAATTAATATTATGCAGAACTGAGCTGTCCACCCCTTGTGTTATATGCACTTTAACTACTTTATACAGCTGGTCCTCATTGACAGAGCAGAGGCCTCCAGACTATACCACCCCTCCAGCTGAAGAGGTCTCCCAGTATCAGCCTCTCCTGGCAGCTTCAGTAATGGAGTTGAGACCAAAGATTTATGTGTACTGCCCCTCTCCAGAGACTTTCTCACTTGTCAGCTCAGCGGGACCCACTTTTACAATGTGACAAAAAGTAGAGATGTTTTGCCTTGCTGTCAGCGCCCAAAATGAAGATGGATGAAGGATCAAAACAGTGTAATACAAAAACAAACAATTCTTCAAGACTTGAAGTTCCAGACTTACGGGCTGTACTGACCTAAGGTGCATTTAAGGTGTATGTGATAGGTCGGACTACTCATTTCACCAAAGCATACTTAAAATAATTAGATTTTTTTTAAACTTCCTGATTGGATATGAGTAGCAGGCCTTAACCTTTACATACCAACATAATGTAAAGACAATTTCATGCACAATACATAGCAAACTTACTGTAAACAATGGCCAGAAATTGTCTACATTGTACAGTTTTTATAATTATACTAATAAGGATCAATAACAACACTCTATTTTATTAAATCATCGTTTAAGCTTAAAAAAATGCCTTCCTTCCATGTATGTTTTCTCTATTGAATTTTCTGTGTTGATGAAATAGACAGAGTTTAGTTTTAGTTCATTCAGTTTTAAAACTCATCATAACTTCCTGTATTTTTGTAATTTTTCAACTATATAAACCTTTTTCACAATGTCTGGAAGTGCCACGATGTAGGGTAAACGTCACTTCTGGTTAAGGCTTTTCTATGGCAAAATTACGGAAGCCAAGAGGGGTCACAACAAACGCAAACGCCACAACAAATACAAATACGACAACACAACAAAAAGCCACAACAAACCAAAAAAGCCACAATACACCAAAAAAAATAAACACAACGGAAATGACCGCGGGACTCTATTTTAATGCAAACGCCGTAACAAATACAAACGCCACAACACAAACGCAAATGCCGCAACACATGAAAAAGCCACAACACATCAAAAAGCAACAACAGAAGTGACCGCGGGACTCTATTTTCCGACGGACCGATCAAGCGGCAAGTGAAGAAGAAGAACTACAACATGAAAAGTAAAGGAACGGAGAAGTAAAAGTAATTTATTGCTTTATCATTATTCGTTTCACGTTGTAGTTCTCCTTCTTCATTTGCCACTTGATCGGTCCGTTGGAAAATAGAGTCCCGCGGTCACTTCTGTTGTGGCTTTTTAATGTGTTGTGGCTTTTTAATGTGTTGCGGCATTTGCGTTTGTGTTGTGGCATTTGTATTTGTTGCAGCGTTTGCATTAAAATAGAGTCCCGCGGTCATTTCCGTTGTGGCTTTTTTTGGTTTGTTGTGGCTTTTTTTTGTGTTGTCGCGTTTGTATTTGTTGCAGCGTTTGCGTTTGTTGTGACCCCTCTCAGCTTCCGTACAAATATTTGTGGGAAAGTCTCACGTATTTTCCACCAGCTTCATAAATCTGCCCCATCACCAACAATCAACAAAGGACATAATCTGTCCATGAAGAATTTATCCTGAACTATCAAGGTAAGAAAGACGGAAACTTAAAGGCGAACAACGACGACGCATTAATGAACTATTGAGCAAAACTAATGTTATGGTCATGAATAAAACATAAGTAACTTGTGAACTCAGACTGATTCTACAATTAAAATTAAAAATCGATTTCAGGATGTAAATATTAACATAGACAGAGAGATTTGTGCAGTTCGCATGCCACAGATATTTGCATATTACACGTCTAGCATTTAAAGTTTTAGCGTGACTAACTGAGACACTATTTGTCCAACGGCTTATGATGCTGTAGAGTTGTTAAGTGTGATGTCTCTTCTGGGTTCAACTGGTTCAACCCTTATGTAACAGCTAATACTCCCTACAACTGTACAACAACTCACACTTATGTCCCAAATAATACTCCCTACAACTGTACAACAACTCGCCCTTATGTGACAGATAATACTCCCTACAACTGTACAACAACTCACACTTATGTCCCAAATAATACTCCCTACAACTGTACAACAACTCACACTTATGTCCCAAATAATACTCCCTACAACTGTACAACAACTCACACTTATGTCCCAAATAATACTCCCTACAACTGTACAACAACTCGCCCTTATGTGACAGATAATACTCCCTACAACTGTACAACAACTTGCCCTTATGTAACAGATAATACTCCCTACAACTGTACACCAACTCATCCTTATGTAACGGATAATGCTCCCTACAACTGTACAAGAACTCACCCTTATGTAACAGATAATACTCCCTACAACTGTACAACAACTCACCCTTATGTAACGGATAATGCTCCCTACAACTGTACAACAACTTCCCTTATGTAAACAGATAATACTCCCTACAACTGTACAACAACTCACCTTTATGTAACAGATAATGCTCCCTACAACTGTACAAGAACTCACCTTTATGTAACAGATAATACTCCCTACAACTGTACAACAACTCACCCTTATGTAACAGATAATACTCCCTACAACTGTACAACAAACTCACCCTGATGTAACAAATAATACTCCCTACAACTGTACAACAACTCACCTTTATGTAACAGATAATACTCCCTACAACTGTACAACAACTCACCCTTATGTAACAGATAATACTCCCTACAACTGTACAACAACTCACCCTGATGTAACAAATAATACTCCCTACAACTGTACACCAACTCACCCTTATGTAACAGATAATACTCCCTATAACCCTATGTCCTGTCAATCATATCATTGTTGCACTGTCTTCCTGTGACCTCTTGTATAAAGCTGTGATTTTTTATTTTATTACTTAATTTTACATTTTATTTTTACTTGTACAATTAGATTTATATAATTATGTCTGATTTCACACTTGTCTCTTGCTCTTTTTTACTACTTATTTAGAATTTATTATTACCATTTATATTTGTTTATGTGTGAGCTACTGTGTCCATATAATTTCCCTTCTTGATAAATAATAAATAAAGTTTGTCTAAGTCTAAGTCTAAGTGCTGTGTCCTTTTTTGACCAAACAAGACTTTTCGAAAACATATGTTAAGCAAATTCACACATATATGGATTACCAGAGTGTCTATCTCACTATCTGGTCACTGTTAATTCTATTTTAAACCTGCTCCTCACCTCAACCTCAAACACTTTCTGCCACATTTTGTTATGGTAACATGTCACAACATTGTTTTTTAGACCCAGAAGTGAGATCAAACTTCTAACAATATCACAATAATCGTATGTCAAAGATGTGTGGACGTGCCCTCACCAGTCGGGCTCGCAGGTGGTCCCGATCTTGCTGACGGTGTAGCGGTTCCAGCCCAGCACCGGGGGGAAGGTCCAGACGAAGGAGAAGGTCCAGACGAAGAGCAGGCCCAGGATGGCGTGTTTGGCCTGGAGACGAATGTTCCCGAGCGGCCGACAGATCACGAAGAAGCGCTCGAAGGACAGCACTGCCAGAGACCACAGGGCCACGATGCCTGAAACACACGAGGATCAATCTGGGTCACCTCATTTAGTTTCTGTGTTCATTAGACTGTGTAACTTTTCTGGTGGAAATATTAAATCTATATCTCCATGGAGACATCAGGTGAGTGACAGGTCAGATCTGTGACGGGGTGAGCACTTTCACGATAAGAGTTCATGTTTTTTTTTTAGCAATGGAAAGACAGGTACATTCAAAGCCGTACGAAACATTCGAGGTCAATCAATGGTAAACGGTCACATTTTTATATCACGCTTTTCCACCTTCAAGGTACTCAAAGCTCTTCACAACAAGGAATCACTCACACATTCACACAGCATTCATCTATGGGAGCTGGAATTGCACCGCCAACCTGTGGGTCAGTGGATCTGACCTCTAAACCGATTATGTTTTTATGTTGAGAGCAGGATTCGAACGCTCTCACCAACTGAGCTACTGCTGCCCAATAACATCTGCGTGGAGACAACTACATGGTGGACGTTCCAAAAGAAAAGTTACATAGAGCCGCTTTAATCTATATAATTACCATATTTTTTGGACTATAAGTCACACTTTTTTTTTAATGGTTTGGGTGGTCCTGCGACTTATACTCCGGTGCAATTTTTATATTAAAATTCAAAGTGTCTATTTGCTCCCTGGGTGTTAATAGTTCAGTGGACACGATTTTTCTATTTATACCCATCTGAAGAAAAAAGGGAATGGTGATGTGTCTACTTATGCTGCAGCCACGAGAGGCTCTAGGCTTGTGTGTCAGTTTTCTGTGCATGTCTCCAGCAGAAAAAGCCACTATCATGCTGCAAGTAGTGAAATATTCAGCCGAAAACGGTAACTTGTGAGAACCTGGGAAAAGGTGGGGATGGAGAACACAGCTTCACAGTAACCAGGAGGGTGCAACACGCAACTTTCCTGCAAGTCACTGGATGGATCGACTTCAGTGACAACTAAAACCATCCTGTTGGGATTCAGAAAGGCCAGAATAATTGTAGCTAGAACTGATGTTGAGTCTGACGACAGCTACACAGAAGAGGAAGTAGCACTCCGTTTTGCTCTGAAGTGACACCAAGATCGAAGAATTCAGTGGATTTAGTGATTTGGAGTGAGATTGTGAGTTTGGTAAACTTATGTTCTGTTGTTTATGCTACAGTTATCTGAATAACTCTTCATATGTTATGTTAACAAACCAGACACCCATTCAGAAAATAAACCATATAATTTCCCAGTTGTTTGACAAACATGCATAGATGTATGTACATGCTCGTAACAAATGTTGTAGACTTTATCATGCACATATTAGCAGGACTCTAAACTATAGGTCTGGAGTCAGGATATTTTTTCATGCAGAGAAGATTACATAATTGCTAATGACTAATTGAACCCATTCTAAAGCTTTACAAACATTGCGTTGTATTGTATTTCAGTTACTCACGCATTTCAATTTACTATAATTTACTTTTCTCTCTGTGAATAAGTTACACCCTGCTTTTATTTGTACCTGGATTGTCAACACTCACACCTGTAAGTTGACACTAGTCATCAACCATAGACAACACACAACTATTATCATTATTTTTATATTTGATTAAGTTATTATTATAATAATAGGTTACATTCTGGCACCAGCTTGTCTCCGTGGAGATGTTACTTTGCCTGGAATGTCTCACACTCCAGACTTACCTTTACGTTCTTCATGGAAACCATCGCATTACAGGTCTGATCTGTGGTGAGGTGAACCCACTCACAGTAAGAATGCATGTTTTTCACTGTATTTTCAGCAATATAAACAATGGATTAACAATGCAGATGTTTTGACCTGGTTTATCTTTGTATGTAGAGGGCATGTCTACAATAAATAAAAACAGGGAACAAACTCAAACATCTTAGTACAATATGACTATGCTGAATCAGTTTTGTGGGTCAGAGAAAAAGTGGAGTCATTTTCAGTCACAAAAGAAGAACTGTTAGTTGAACGGAGCAAATTTATGGACCTGGTGGCTATCAAATAATGATTTAGGTGAACGTAGGTGGAGATTTGGATTGGATGTTTCATTCAAAAACCTTTCCATTTCCATAGAGTTTCATTGGATCTTGCCCATGTAAAGTAGGTTTACTTGACGAGGAGAAAATTCAGTTTGTCGACTGGACAAAAGTTAGTTTGGTTGAAGACGTTTCACAGCTCATCCAAGCTGCTTCTTCAGTTCTGGTCAGACGCTGGTGGACACTTCCTTATATCTGCAGGGAAGAGCTAACTAACTGAAACTAACACACCTACTTGTTAACAGTTTCTGTTAGTTAGTTAGGTAGGTAATTTTCTCCTCACCATGGATTCTACCTGGACGACTGAGGGATTCTTCACACATCTTAAGTTTACTTGATGAAATTGTAATCTGTATTTTGTTGGGTATTTTAGAAGTCAACAGTCTTTGTCTATACATCAACTACGTACAATAATATGACAATGCTAAAGGTGCACAAAATAACTTTTTTGATGGAGGATCCGGTTTGCCTGGAAATGTCCCACAGTACAGTTGTCCCTCGCTGTATCGCGGTTCACCTTTCGCGGACTCGTTGTTTCGTGGGTTTTTTTAGTACAATTTTTCATGCTTTTTTTTACAGCATATGAGTGCGTATAGAGCTCCGGACCCCACGTGACTCACGGTGGGCGGGCCGCCATTTTGGCAGTAAAATGGATAGCGCCACCGCTGAATTTTTCAAGCCATCGGAGTACTCACTTTAATTCACAAGACATTGAGCTTCAGATCAAAATTTAAATGGTAAACATTGACCGATAATGCCCCGGGGTGTTTTTTTTTTAAATTTCCGCTGAAGAAGACGTCCCAGATCCGCAGTACATCGCCAAATGAACCAAAATTGGTCCGATTGACATGCCTCTGTTCCTTAGAACAGCAATACCTCCAATTATCAACACCGATGTTCCCTGTTAAGACCACGGGACATCCTCATCAAGAGTCATCATGAACTCGTAAAACACAAAAGCACGGGTAACAGCAGCAGCAACAGCGATAAAGAGGAGCATCACCGCAGCTCAGATCCTCAGGACGGGGTCTGCGGTCTGGTCCTTGGTCCGGAGGCTCCGTCCTCCATGTGCTGGTTCCAGACGGTAGCGAGCAAGACCAGTGCTTGATGGACTGGGTCTGAGCTGTTCCGTGTCATCGTCTGACGCTGGTTCCGTGCGGGAAAAGCGAGAATGCACTGTGGACTACAGGTCTGGACAGTTCGCTCCGGCGGTCAAGAACTGCGGCTGGTTCCGAGGTGATGCAAAGCATCCGGACAGAAGCGTGAATAGTTTGGTGGGTTATATGTTGTTCTGAGCGTCCGACCTCCGCGCTCTTTGTTCCTGGGAACGTTCTTGTCAGGCCATGGCTCCTGACACCACTCCCCGCTGTAGCTCCTCTGAGCCCGGCCTGAACCGGAGCTTCTCCCGCTGGTTCAGGACTCTGGTTTTGTGTAGCATTTCTCACACTAGGCTAAAAGCAGGACATTTTTAAAGTTGAATCAATTGAATAAGCTATTGCCTATTTCCATAAAATTATTTGGTTAATTATAAGCCAAAATAACAATTGCTGATTGCTACTTTGGAGCCACACGTTCGCACATTGGTTTTGCTCTGATCTTTGTGTATTACATTATCTGTATTGGAAAATTGTTGGCAAAATTTCGGAAATGAATCGCGGCTGCGTCTGGAGAACAATCTGTTTTGCGCTGGAGTTACAGCGCGAGTCAGCCGATCTGCCGATTACTGCCAAAATGGCGACACCTTGTGCCTGACGAGCCGGTGACGTCAGCTCCCGGAGCTCTATTGTGTTCCTCTCCCTGCGTTCTGATTGGCTGTAGACCACTGTCAATCAGTCTCCTCCGTGCCGTGTCTCCTGTGCAGTACAGAATGCGTTCAGCTGCCAAATTTACATAAATGTTCGATCACTATCAGTGTGATTCTGAAGCGCAGCGTGATCGGGCAATTGCTGCGCTTACCGTGAGGTGCGGAGCTCTCCGTCGGTCCTTTCTCCTGCGGTCACCTCTGAGCCTGTCCCCACAGTGAGTCCTGGTTCAGTTCTGGTTTAGTCCTCCTTGTTCAGTCCTGGAATCAGTCCTAGGTTAGTCCTGGGTTAGTCCTGGTTTAGTCCTTGGTTCAGTCCGGGGTGTATGCAGCGCAAAAGTTTGATATAATCTCGAGTTAACGTGCGGGTGCGGTGTTGTACTGTGCGGGTGCATGTCTCCAAAAATGGACCTGTGCAGGACTCTGTGCTGTAGGGCTCCATTACAGAATAAATGAATCTTCGGTTCGTTACATAAAGAAGGAGGAAAATAACAAAAGGACAACAATAGCAATACGTTTTAAGAAGGATGCAAAAAGGGTTAGGTAACTGTCCTGCCTGAGAAAAGTGTATAAACAGCCTTTTACAGCCTTAAAACATGTATAATAATTGTAAAATATAAAGTTGACTATTTTGCGGATTTCACCCATCGAGGGTTAATTTTAGAACGTAAATCCCGCGATAAACAAGCGACCACAGTGTAGCATTAAAGTTATTTATCCACACGGAGTCAAGCAGACAACGCAACCAGGGTATGTTACAGTTCAGATCCGTGGAGAGATAAGTCCGCTCACAGTAAGAACACATATTATCTGGGTATTTTGTTAGCAATAAAATAACTGTACTTCAATAGATTCGTCAAATGCCATATTGCGGAACATTCCAGGAGAAGCAATAACATTTTGAACCCCCCACCGGAAAAGTTACATCCCTGTTATGAGTTGTACATTCTTTGTTATATGTCATTGCTTATTGTTTAAGGTTGACGTGTGTTCTTCAATAAAATCTTCAAAATGAGCTACAGTACAGCCGCAGACCAGACGGACTAGATCCTTATATCTCCCATAGGCACCGGGGTTTCAGACAGAGGGGGACAGCGGGAGATCAGGGGAGAGGGCTGGAGGAAAACACACCCATTTATGCAGCACTACAGTGGGAACAT